AGAGAAATCCTTAACTTGACTTAGGTATCTTTAAAATATAGATTCTAATCTACAAAAGCAAGTTAGGTCTGAAAGTATGGTTTTATATGAAGAAGGTTATAGCACCCTCATAATGTCCATAAAAAAATGGTACTAGTTATTTTTGTGTTATTCATTAAGCCTTTAAAAATTTACATGTATTGAGAATTATTCTTAACTAACAACAATATTTTGGCAAAAAATTAAGAAAATTCCTTCACCTTAAGAGTATATAAGAAAATAATTATTTCTCTTTAAGAAGCTCTGTCATCGGATCATTTAACATTTATCTTTTTTATGAAAATTTAAAAGAAATTTAATTTCAAGTAAAAATTGATATTTCAATTTTTTCTCAAAATTTTAAATTTTTTTTAAGAAAAATTAATATTTTAGCTTCTTTCTCGATTTTTAAAATTATTTTTATTGAATGAAAATTTGATACTTTAACTCTTTCCTCATTTCTTCAATTATTATTGTTTTAAGGAAATCAAAAAAACTTATCTAATAAATAAATAAATAAATAAAATAATAGATAAAAATATTAATTAAATAAAAATAATGAAAAAAAATCGAAATGCCTCGACTTAGCTCAGTTCAATAGGAAGGATCGGCTCAGCTTGAGAAACAAATGATGGCATGGTGGTTGATGCATAACTTAACACGTGACGTATCTCAAATCAGACACTATGGGTCGGGTTGAATTAGATTGACGCTTGGGAAATTGGGAATTGCCTTCAAAATTTGGTGATATCGTTAAAATCTTCATGGGGAATTTCAATGCTCACTAGAAAATGTCATCGCAATTGGGAAATCTTGTCGGAGTTTGGGAATCTTGCCAAAAAATCGTTAAGAACTAGAAAAAGCCTAAATTTTGAACTTGACATTGCTAAAACTTTCTTACTCTCAAGTTTTTCTCTTTGATTATTGTGTTGCTTATAGCATTATTTGTAGGAAAAACTAAAAAAGTTTCTGATCAATCCAGACTCAAATTTTGAAATTCTGAATTATCACCAAAAATTTATCCTTAAAAGTCCTAACCCATTTCCAACTCTAATACAGCCTAGATTATTACTTAGATTCTTTCTATTTCCCTCAACCTTATCACCAAACTTCTTAATGTAATTTTAATTTTTTTGAGATAATTAAATAATTAGAAGTAAGAATAAGATAAAAAATAATTAATAAATAAAAATAAAAATGAGATGAATAATAAAAAGGAAAATGAAGGACAAATACAAGAGATAGAATATAAAATAAAAATAATAAAAAAATACAAATAAAAATCCCAAATTTAACAGTTGGGTGGGTTTGAATAAAATAAGATATCTACAACATAGTTAAGAAAAATATCTTTAATGAAGAAAATAAAGAAAATAAAAAGAAAGATAATATTAATCATAGGTAAGCATTTCTTACCGAGGATAATGATAAAGGTAAGAAAATGACATAGAGACCATAATAAGTTTGGAGGAAGGTCTAAATCTAGGAAAAAGCCAAAGTGTTAGCAAGAAACTTAGACATTTGGGTAGAAGTTGTAGGATCTTGAAGCAAAAGTTAAAAAAAAAAAAAAAGTAGATGATGAGAACACGTTAGCTACTAAAGGGTCTGATCATGATTTGTTTACACTAGTTTGTGCAACTAGTGATTGTGCTCCTATTAAGGATTTAAATGTTAGAGAGGATTTTTAATTCAACAGCCCTATATTAGAGTGTTACTAGGAGACAACTTTTCACTTCTTATAAACAAGTTGACTGGGCATTATGAAGATGGGAAATAAAAGAAACCCTTGTGTTGCTTGGCCATATATATGCTAATGTGGCACAATCTCGACCACCCACTAAAAATAAAAAATAAGGCTTTATCATGCGAAGTAAATTCAAGTGGAAATAGAGCTAGACCCATATGAGCCACATGCCAAACACAGTTTATATATGTTCAAGTTCAAGAGTAGTCATAATTACCGATGCTATTTTAATTTACTTCCAAAAATTTTGGAGGACAACTAAGATTTTGAATTTTTGATATTGACTATTATGCTCAAACGAATATTGAGTATTGAGATTCATCTAGGTTCTATCTCTTTTTTTGCTAATTTTCTTTACTTATTCTTTAATTTTTTGCTTCATACTCATTTGACTTTTATTCTCCTAAATTTTCATTTATCCTTATTTTTCCTTTTTTTATTATAAACCATAGAACTAGAATTTATCTCCATCTAGCGCAAGCTATGAGAAAATAGAGAAAGAGAGAAAAAAAACAAAAAAAAGGCAAAAGCAAAAAGTAAATAGAAAATTCAAACCTATGCTCTGTTAGGAATAATGACTCAAATCCTATAAGAGATTTATTTGAAATTTGTTAGATATTACTGGATGGATAATAAGACTTGTAAAAGAAAATTTTTAAAAGGAAAAGGATTCTTAATAGGTAAGTTTTTATAGTTATAAATCTACAGAGTTAGGTATAAGAAAAAGATGTAAGAGAGTTGTAAGATTTTATGGGATAAACACCTCATAAGACTATTGTAGATTTACGTCTTATAGGTGTGTATGTTTGAAAGTTTATGAGTGGACTAGAAGAGATTGAGAGGATTCACATAGGTATGATAAATGGGTGCATATAGGTATATGTTTGGTTGAAAGAGTGCACATGGGATGTGTTTGTTTGGGTTAATAATACTCCAAATGACTAGAGTAGATTAATAGGGTCTATGGGTATTGATTGTTGAGTGGTTGATATGTTTATGGTTATAAATAAGTGAAGTCTTTGTAGGATTAGGTATGAGAAAAAGATGTAAGAGAGTTATAGGGTTTTATAGGATAAACATCTCATAAAACTACTGTAGATTTACATCTTATGGGTGTGTATGTTTGAATATTTGTGAGTGGACTAAAGGAGATTAAAAAAGTCCACATAGGTATGGTGCATGGGAGTAAACTAGAGGAGATTGAGAGGGTTCACATAGGTATGATGTATGAGTGTATATAGGTATGTGTTTGGTTGTGTTGAAAGGAGACACGTGGGATGTGTTTGTTTGGGTTAAGAACACTCTATAAGACTAGAGTAGATTAAAAGGGTCTATGGGTATTGATTGTTAAGTGAGGTTGATGATTTGATTTGTATGTTTGTAATTCTCTACAACTAGTGAATCTTGTTTCCATACGTGGACATAGGTCAATTGGATCAAACCGCATTAAATTATTATCTTTTATGTAATTGATTGATTATTTGATTTCACTTTCTTTTGTGTGATTAGATTGAGGCATTTTGGCCTAACATGCTCAACCTTTACAAAATTAAGAAGATTAGGAAAGTTGAAGTAGCCAACTTTTTATGATAACTTACCTTATGAGAACTATGTATACTCTCATTTTCTTTTTTTTTTTAATTTCTTATCTATCATAACCTATTAATCCTTATTTACTTAACTTATCTAAGGAGGAAGTTACCACCTAAATTCTCTAAAACCCATAACCTTTAAGAGTCTATCTAGCATGCATGCTATTTGAGTTAATGCTTAATTGGCTTCTTTAGTTGCATAAACATTTTTCAAATGTCATTTGCATTTTATGTTTTAAAGATAATTCAAAATACCTTTGCATGAAAAATTGTCTTCAAGAAACAGAAGATGCAAACCTTTCTGTTTACTCATTGCTTAGTCAAAAATATTGAGAAAGTCAAAATATCCAACTAGGTATGAAAAATATGGCTTGTGTTGGACTTAAAAGGGAAAAAAGAAATACTTTGATGGCCAGATCAGACAATTGTATAACAACAAAATAGATCAAACTTGAACTTTAGCATTTGTAAATTAAGGTTCCATTTACGTTATAACAAAAGAAGCCAAAAAATAAAAATATTGAGAAAGTCAAAATATCCAACTAGGTATGAAAAATATGGCTTGTGTTGGACTTAAAAGGGGAAAAAAGAAATACTTTGATGGCCAAATTAGACAACTGTATAACAACAAAATAGATCCAACTTGAACATTAGCATTTGTAAATTAAGGTTCCATTTATGCTATAACAAAAAAAGTCGAGAAATGAAAATATTAAAAAAGTTTATATTTAATACATTGTCGATGTATAGAGTCTATACACTATCAATAAATCAAATGATAACATTTCATTAATAAATAAATATCAACTTTTAAAATAAATGTACATAAATTAAAATTTTTAAAAAAAAACTTACTCATTAATAAGGTGTTATCATCTAATTCACCTTGTTAATAAAGTATCATCATCTGATTGATTGATAGTGTATAAAATCTATAGACTAATAGTGTATCAAATATAAACTCATACGGGTGGTTCACCAACTAACTTTGGAGTCTGAACATTAACAGAGATGTGATTGTTATATATATATTCCTCTTAAATTTATAATTGAAATTTATGGTTTCAAAGAAAGTTCAAAACATTCTCGGTTGCTTCTGTGGGAAACTTTAAGACCCTGTCAGATTGTTTACATTAATTTTGTTAGACATTAACCTGCCGCAACATAAAAGGTTTATAAATGCCCACAAACAAGCACATACTGCATTCATGTCATGATTTCTAGAAGCAATAATAATTCAAATAATACTTCATGGTTACACTATCATTTTTTACTTATTCCTTTATTTCTTGTCCAATATTTTCAATAACCATACATAAACTTCTTCCTCCCATTAATACTTTCATTGAATATGAGCATTTCAAATCAACATAAAAGATACAGAAATAGTTTTATACCAAAACAGCTTCTAGCATAAGTCCATTAAGCAGACAAGATTAGTATGTATATCATCAAGCTTTCACTAAATAAACTCATTGCTCAATTTGTGATTAGAATATTGAAACAAAATAATAAACTTGTATTAAATTCATGAGGTTGCAGTTGCTTAGCGCGTGCCTTATCAACCAACTCTTTCCACTCTCTTGACTGTGGATAAATATCAACCTAAAATGCAATGTAATAAAATCTTTACACCATTGTTACAACTACGTAAAATGATGGGCAGCAAAAAGTAGAACAACAAGAACCTTATCAACATCCTGCAGAACTGGTGTAATCAATCCATCATCTATAGCTACAACAACAATACTGACGCTACTGTTAGATGTAAAGCGATTGCCATCCCTACAGGAGGAATTAACTATAGGATGTTGAACCAATGCAAGTATCGTTGCCTTCGCAAGCAATGCTGTCATTGTTATGGCCTTGGACTTGATCTAAACAAAATAAATACTACTTATATCAACTAATATTCACAAATAAACAAAAAAAAAAAACATGTCAAACAATTAAAATATGCAGTACCATCCATCTACCTTATATTGACTATTAAGAACATTAATATTTTCTTGAGCAAAATGTCTTAAAAAAAATTATAAAGGTCCTAAATTAAAAAGTTTCCTTTAACACAAGTATGTTTTCTGGTGTAAGGCATATTTTTGCCCATAGCCCATTTGTAACAAAAGATGCCAAGGTAATCCACTTAAAATCTATAACTAACAATTGATTAACCAATCTTTAACAGAAAAACTGGTCTCTCAGTAGGCATCAAGCTTCTTTAATTGCCTGAAAATTTAACAAAGGACCGAAAAGCCACATTTTTTCACACGGAATAATCACTTCTTAAACCTCCTAAGAATTCACCATTTTGAACCAAATGCACTTTCTTATCAAAGTAAAGATTCAAAGTAAAGAACTAAGAAATTATGTATTTTTAAAACACCTGAACAAAACCAACTTTACTTTCTTGGACGAGGCATCAAGGGCATTTGTGGTTATGGTGTGCCCAACTCTACAACTAGGCACAGACAAATTCTTAACCATATTCCTACTTACAGCACCCTCTATTTTAGTGAAAGGAACCGTTGTTCGCAATTCAAACCAAACTACCTCAGCCGGAGAAGTAGGAAGCAACACATGCTCAGAAGCAGCCATCACACTTACTGCCATCGTTGCCTCAACGTTATCAGTCACAATCCTACCTATGGGTCCAGTCCCCACCACTGTTCCCAAATCCACCTTCAACTCATTGGCCAATTTTTTCACATATGGCGACACCACTATCCTCTTCCCTCCCTCTGAAGCCAGATGCATTGCGGACCCCACAACTATAATTTTTGTGCTTGAAACTGTAAGAGCAGTCGCCGAAACTGCTAACACCACCTCTTCGTTTTACTTTGGTTTTTCTTCTACTACCTGGGCGCTGCTACTGTAAGAAGATTGTGTTTGGCTTCAGTGATCTTGTCTTCGATCTCAACAAAAAGAGCTATGTTAGAGCCAATGGGAGCGACGCCGTCTTCCTCCGCCATGATGGCAGCGAGGAATCCCTCATGCAAATGCTCGGCATCCATGTCAACCCTGTCAGATTCAACAACAAAAACACTCTCTCCTTTCAACAGCTTGTCTCCTTCTGACTTCATCCAGGATACTATCATACCCTTCGTTATTTGTAGAATATGAGCCATTTGTCAGTAATGAATTTGGCATTTTGTTTGAGGAAAGAAATAAGAGAAAAGGGAGGAATTTTCTATGAATTCGCTAGGCCGAAAAATTTTGTTAGTAGAGTAATGTTGGTGATGGAATTAAAGTGGATTTCCTCGAAAGCATCGAAAGATCGCGGCGGAAGAATCAACCAACTCACCGGTAAAAGTGATAATAACTTGAGTTTGTTGTTTTTTTGTTTGGTTTTAGGTTTGGTTTGTTTAGTGTATTTCTTATATTAATACTAGTCAAAAGATTCAGATCAGCTTATTTAAGTGAAATTTGATGAACTTCTTAAAGTGAAATTTGTAAATTTTTTTATTAAAAATAATTAAATAAAAATTCAAATATAAAATTCAAATCAATAAATTAAAAATTTTCATTACATAGATTAAGTATGTAAAAATTTAAAGAAATTTAATAAATTTATTTATATATTTTTAAATAGATATTTTTAACAAAAATTAACAAAATTTTTACTATTAAATATGTATAGATTAAATTTGAATTATAAATAATATTTATAATAATTTTTTTTATATATTATTAATTTTCACATTAAACTGCATCAATTTATCAAACTGAATTTTTTATTGAAATTTTTATTAAATCATTTTTACTTAAAAAACTTTACATAAGTTTTTTTCTTTAATACTAGTTACTTTACCTACGTTTCACTACTAGTCATCAGATTTCACTCAAAATTTGTTTATAATTTTCTCTTTTTCTCCTTTACATTTTTTTGTCTAAATAGAACTTCTCAAAATCAACTTTAAATTCATAGATTTATTTCAAAAAACGTAAACTTTTCATTGCTATTTAATCTCATATTTATTGGTTAAATCTTTTGAAATTTTACTATTTTATTCTCCTCTTTTTGCTCTTCTTTTTCACCAACTCAAAGTTTCCCGAAAATAAAATCACAACCATGAGCCACTGTTGTTACCTTTATCGGTGGTGGCTTTGCTTCATGAGAAAATTTCATAAAATCTTACCAAAAGTGTTGAAAATATGTTTGGCAAAAGATTATGGAAATATTCTAATAAAATAATTTAATTTACTTTTTTAATAAAATATTTAATAAAAATAAAAGTTGGTAAAATCAAAAGTAAAAAAATTATTTTTATAAATAAAAAATTAAAAGAAGTTGTTGGGTTTGATAGGTTGTGGTGTGTCGAGCTTTAGTTGAATTAAGACACAGTGAATTGGACTTTAATTGGATTTTTTTAAAAAATGTGTGTTTGTTTGATGCAAATTTGTAATTGAGTGTGTTTTTCATTGGTTTTGAGTTTTTATCATTTTATACGATGTGAATTTGTAATTAATTTTGTTTTTATGAGTTTTGGTTTTTTTTTATCATTTACTATTTGTAATAAAGCAAAATAAAAATTAAAATCTTAAAAATATAATATATTTATATATACAAAAAGTCATAAAAAATAAAAATTAACTGTTCTTAGTTTTTTTTTATTTCTTTTATTTTGAATTTTTTACAAAAAATTTTATAAAATATAATAAATTAAAAAAGGATACATTTTCATCAAATGATTAATAAAAAATACAGCATAAAAATTTACATAGAAAATTTAATCGCATTATATGAAACATTATATATTTTAAATTTTATAATTTTTATTTTACTTTTTATTTTTTACATTAAAATAATTACAAATATATTTAAAACAATAAAAAAAAGTTAACAAAAAATAGTTTGCCTCGAGATTAATTATAGTATTTATTAACTCAAGTATCGGGAAATTTTTTTTTTTTTTTTTTTTTATGAATGCGCTAATGCCAAGTTTATAATTTTGATCAACAATTGTTTGCCATTTGTCGCTAACTGAATGCTATTAGGCAAGAAACAATGGATCCTTTCGGTATTAATGGATAGAACTTGATGACCTTTTTTGCCTGTTTTACTTGGTTTCAATAACAAAAGAAATTAAGCCTTACCATCGTCTTTTTCTTTACCTTTTTTCTTCTTAAACTTCATAATTTAGAGATTTGTTAATTGGCTTTTTTTTATTTATTTACTTAAGCAAGAATCATTGTCACTATAGCAAACAGACAACATAATCCAACAAACCAAAAAAGGAGATTTTGGGTTTTGTGATTTGGGGCTTTGGGAGGGAGTAGCAGTAAAAATAAGGGAAATATTTTGAAATTTATGCTTAGGCTTAGGATAGTTTCAAAATACCAAGTCGAAAAAGGAAGTACAAAACCAATTTTTTTGGGGATTTTAGGTTTTCAAACGATGGCCGAAAGCTTTTAGTGTTTATGGGTAAAGTTTTCTTAAGGCTTTATGTTGGTATGGGTGGTAATCACTAACTAGATGTCGGTGGTGAGGAAGGACGTTGTGGCGAGGTATAGGGGTGTAAACAAATAAAGTTTTCAACGAACTGTTTATTTATGTTTGTTTGTTGAACTTAACAAATAATCTTGAACAGCATTTGTATATTCATTTGTTAAACGAATCAAACATAAATAAAAGCCTGTTCGGTTCGTTTATATTCGCAAACAAGCTTGTTTAATGTTCATGAACAAATTTGATTATAATTTGTTTAAAACATAAAGAGTTGATCATTTTGAGATTTAATATCTTTTATCAATCTATAAATTACCATATAAAATTTATATCATTAAAAATTATATATGATATAGATCAAAATAATTTTTAATCTTTTAAAAATATTATTACTAGATAACTCTTTTTATTTCCTTAAAAATTGGATAATAACTTAGAATGAAGTTTGAAAGAATAGAAACATATTTTTAATAATCCCACATCAGCAAAGAATCAAAACAAGGGATGAGTAAAGTTTATAAATTCCTATCCTTTACCTCTGCTGTACATGTGTGCTTATACAATGAATCACACATTGTTTAACAATCAAAACAAAGGATGGGTAAAGTGTATAAATTCTCATCTTTTGCCTTTGCTGCACATTTTGAATGCCACATCTCTTAACAACCAAAAGAAGGGATACGTAAAGCCTATAAATGGGATAAGTAAAGCTTATAAACTCCCATCCTCTTCCACAACTACACATCTGTGCGTAAACAAATGAATCTTGAATCACTTAAGAACTAAAACAAGGGATGGGTAAAGTCTATATATTCCCATTTTCTACTAGATATCTCTTTATGTTCAAATGAATCCCACATCAATTAAAAGCCCCTTTGCTAACTATTTATTTAACCGATTCATTTAGTTGTGGGCATTACGATTTTGGGCTATAATAAAAAAAAAAGTCCAAATATTATAACATAAAGCTTGAGCTTGTTTGTGTTTGGCAAAAGCTCATTGAAAGTAGTTGAATTGAGCTTGAACATAAGTTTGTCCAACTTGGTAAGAGCTTGTTCATTTATAAGCTTGTTTATTACTAATCGAATTGAATTTACAAGGGAATATTTGGCTCAGTTTGGTTCATTTACAGCCCTAGTGTTGGATAGAAAAAAATTTTGTTTGTGTTTTTTTTTCTTTTTATGAGCTCGTAGTGCCAGTTGTTTCCTGACATGATAATTATTTGATAATTTAGATGAACAGTAAAAATCTTGATTTGGCAATAAATTGAACTTGAAGACAATTTAATTTTTCAGGGGATAACTTTAATATATCGTTATAAATAGTTAGAGTTGGAGTCAGTTTATAATGAATTTTATAGTTTTTCTTATTATTCTTCTTTTTTATACAGTTTTCCCAAATAGTTTTCTTCTTTTTTTATGTTTTTACCCAAAATGTTTTATTAGATTGTCAATTTATTTGAATTTTCTTTTCAAGTAAAAATCAAATATTTTACCAACAGATGATTGACTCAATTGGCAAAGAGAGTATACTCCTGTCTTTGTTGTCTGAGTTTGGATCCATTGGGAGGCTATGAAAAAGTAATTTTTCATGCATTCACTAGGCTCAACGCAAATATAGTTAGATTGAAGCGGAGAAGAGATGTATTAAGTAAAGCCCAAAAACCCTCTATTGTTAAATTAAAAAAATCAAATATTACTTGGTTCAGTTATCTCATTGTTATAACGTATAGATCCGTTGACTTATCATTAGACATAGGCTTAAGAGTCACCATCAATTCTTTTGTTTAGGTTTGATTGACCACCTAACTAAATCTATCTCATTTTAAAAGAGAAATCCTAAGCCTGATTTAAGTGTCTTTAAATGGTAGATTTCAGTCTACGAAATCATATTAGGTTAGGAGTGCAGTTGCATGTGATGAAGGTTATAGCGTCCTCACAGCACTCACTCAAATGATGGTACTAGTTTGATTTCAAATTATCCAGCCTTAAAACATCTTTATAGTTTTACCAAATAATTTAATTATTGGAAATAGATCTTAAAATTACTCCAATAGTTTGGTAGCAATTTAAGATAATTTTTTCACCTCAAAAATATTCATAGAGACTAGTGTCCCATTTTGAAGAGACTGCATCGTCCAATTCATAAATATATTTTATTTAGAAAATAGTCAGCAAAATCATCTAATAGTTTGGTAAGATTTTATTTCGATATACATTCTCCAATAATTTAGTGGGATTTTATTTAAAAATCCATTCATAAAATTAAATTTGACTCATTAAATCTTTCAATAGTTTGGTAAGATTTA